TCTGTATATAGTGAACTAGTCATATGTCCTTTGAGCCACTTTTTAGCAGTTCCCCAATACCACTGGGCAAATTTAATATTTACTAAGTGGAATAATTAATGGTATGCAATCCATTGACTTACAATCAGAGCCGATTTCCCATTGTTATCTCTTGTAATACATTTTGGAGAACTGAAAAATATTGGAACATTCACTGTCTATAGATCTGCCCATGCAAGTAGCTAATTTTAAAAATACATCAAGGCTCATCTGAGATGATTTCACATCCAGCTTTAGGGGAATAAAGAGACATATTTTCTTCCAGACTGGGTTGGATAGGTAAAGCTTACACAGTTGATACTGGGATAGCATAAAATATATTTCTTTAGTAAATAACCTCAAAGCTGGTTAAATATTTTCTACACTCCTCAACAAAGACATATAAGGTCAGCATTGAGACTTAACAGACACAAGCAGCATTGACTACGGAAAAACTATTGAACTTAAGCAACACCCAACGTATAATGAAAAACTCATAATAAACTTAAATATTGTACTTTAATGGTAATTTTATGAAGGGGAAACCATCTCTGCAGAGTAAGGAGTAACATCCAGTATTATTGGTAATTGTATAACTTTATGTCTTCCAGAGATTGTTGTGCTTAGCAGTGCAATAGTAGTAAAGGATCAAACGTTGGGGCTTTCCATGATAAATAACAGAGCCTTTAAAAGTCCCCAATAGCCCATAAAATAAATATGCTTTTAATTTAAAGTAGTCCCTGAGTAGGGATATTTAGCACTCATATAGCAGTTAATTAAAATTTCATCAGCTATGTTAAATTCTATCAACAAAATTAGTTCTACGAAGTAATGTGGTTTTTGGGATGACCAAATACTAATAAATTTTAAGACTTCCTTGGCAAACAAATACATCAGCCATCAAGTTTGGGTATATTTACTATTTGATGTGAGTTCCCGGTAACTGTTTTCACAACTGAACCTCTCCAGCCTGGATCTCCAGCCTAGATCTCGCATTCTGCTCTAGTTACCAGGACTTCTAATAAGAGGACAACGGTAAACCTAAGCTTTTAGGGCCATAGTTATTTAAGAAGAGCAAAGAGAAAGCACAAACAGCAACCAATTAGATTCCAACTTTCACTGGTTTAGAGTAAGAAGGATAATTTTTAAAAATGGTTGCCATGAGTTACTGCATTCTCACATTTTTCCTTGCAACTTTAGGTAACATAAAAACAGTATATAATGTTCACAACAGGCCTTTACTTTGGCTATGCAGGGTAAACAACAAGGGGGGGGGGGCTTTAGTGCCCCCTCCCCCCACCAATATATACACATCTCTCTTTCGCTCCCCTACGGCTATGTTCAACCACAGAGAGTGTCTCCGTACGTTCAATGTTTGGAGGAAACAAAACCTACCTCTCATGTGTCAGTTTTGGTGCTTGGTGACTGGCTAGACTAGAGCTACTCTCTCCCAACAATTGACTAGAGCAATGTACTACTGGGTAGGAAAATAATATGGTCCTGTTATTTAGCCCTTCATGGGCAAAGCACAGGTTTATTTTTAGGAGAATATATAATCTATAAAAGAATCCCTGGACATTAAACAACTCCATTAAACAAAGTTACATTTAAAAACTACAGTTTGAAAAAAAGACACATCCATCAAGTTCAACCAGTTTTGGTTCTGAGCAAAGCAAAGTGTTGGGCCCACCAAGTATGTCAGTGTGTAGAGGAAACCTGTACCTGAAATATATAGGCTGTCATTCCTGATCTTTCTTATTGAAAATGCTAGTTGGCTGTTATGCTGATCCATTGACTTACTAACCTGAAACAAGTATGCAGATAAGGAGTTATGACTTTACAATGGCTCCCCTGCTGCATAATTGATTTGGGCCAATGATTTAAAGTACTGAGGCCAGAGTCAGGCAGGTAGCAGGGATTTTCTGAAGGAGGATAGCAAAGGCAGCCTGTATGTTTGGCTCAGTACAGTTTTCATTTATTGTTATGATGTAATAGTTAATGAATCCTAGACGCTGCCATGATAGCTAGTGTTGAGCAGAGTGATTTTAATTAAACTGATTTCACTGTGAAATTCCCAATATCGCTGTCAGCAAAATTTCACCAAAACAGAATTTCTCAATTTCACTCAATGAACTGCTTAAGCAACATTTGCTTGAAAATGTTCTACTTTTTTAAGCTTATTTAATGGCTGTGGGTTATTTATGGAGGGTGTATTAGGGTAAGTTTAGTTTATTTTAGTTAGTATTTTTTATATTTCTGTCCCCCCCCCCCCACCCCTTTATCTGCATGTATAGGATTGTTATTTGTGTACTGTCACTTTTAATTTGTTTTTCACTGTGTTTTCTTAGTGTGAAAAGAAGTAAAATAATGAGGCTAATGAGGGACCATTTTTGTCCAGGTCCAGGATAGTTAAAAGGAGCTTTTGTAACCCTCAGGAGATATTTGAAGGCAATTGCACCCTTAAAAGCCAACAAATAAACTTTATTAATGTCATCTTCCCTATTTAATGTATTTTTCTAAAATTTCACCAAAGTCTCCAAATATTCACTTAAATTTTAGGGAAATAAAAACTTAATTACCTGCAGCAACCAGTGATATGACTGTGTTTAGCATTCAGACTTCATGCAACTGTTAATAAATGCGCCCCACAAACGTGTTATAGAGTTAAATAAAAGGCACCTAAACCTTTCACGTCTCCTGATTACTCGGCTTTGACATAATGCATTAAAAAAGTACCAGCAACTTCAACAGATCATCAACCTCACACAAAAAGTTGTGTAAATATTCACTTCAATTATTCAATCATGTGAAAACAAATTCCTGTTCACACAGTTTTGTGAGTGAAGATTCTCATCTCCTTTAGAAAATCAGTCTAACTCTCTTCTAAAAATTGTAAAAAAAATCTACAAAATTGTTCCGTGCAGTAGAAGACACTAAATACTTATGGGCAGGGAGTCTGAACTCCTCTGTCTCAAAGGGTTTAAGCTTTCTTTAAAGGCTTTAGCATTCAACACTTCTGGGGGCATTGAATGCCTGTGTCCCTGTCTGCTCACTGTGGTTCCTTTAGCCGGCCCCTATGTCACTACAAGATACAGTAGTGATGTTAGTAGTAGTGGTGTCAGCCAGAGAAACCATTGACACAGGGGACACACACATTTACCACTCCCGCAAGTGTTGAATGGTGAAGACATTGCTGGGGATTTATCGGTTGACCACAATAGACGTTGGAATTGCTTTCCATCTTAGGGTTAAGTATTTAGTGGCTTTTATTGCAGGGGGCGATTCTTAATATTTTTTGGAGGAAGTGGCACAGTTGC